GTGATGGGTACTGAGGAGGGCACCTGTTGGGATGAGCACTGGGTGTTGTATGGAAACCAATTTGACAATAAATTTCTTATTAAAAAAAAAGAAAAAAAGAAAAGGGAACTTTCCCATGCATGATCAATACAACACACATCCTACTCATAAACGTTTTAATATATATATATATATTTATAAATTATACAAGCAGCTGCTCTAAATAATATATTCCATGGATTATCAAACATTTTACAAATTGGATACATTACATGAATGAAATCTATCAATTTTAAAACAAAGCTATCTCCCTTTAAGACAGAGATTCCCCTCATATGCAAACTGTCTCCCTGCTGCAGAGAAAATGGACAGCAAAGTGGGAAGTTGCTGGGATTGGGATATTGAATTCAAAACCTTGTATTAACAGATACATGCAGCCTTTCTGCTCAGACTGGAAAAACATTTACAGTGGGCTATCTACCAAAAGTGACGGAACACAGCTTGGAGAGCTGGAAGTACATAAATCAGGTCCTAATGAGAAGAATTCATAGCCAAGAATTTCTGAAAAATATGAGACATTATCACAATCCTAAGGGCTGCCTCAGTTCTTGTCATCGGGGAGCAAAGGCGAGTCAAGGAGCTCTGAGCCAAGCCACCAGAAACAGAACTGAAAGCCAGTGGACAACAGAGACCTCAGACTCCTAAATCAAACCCAACAAACAAACGAGATTCCTGGGAGTGGGGGCGTGGCTAAGCTGGTCTCTTAGTTCCCCCTAAAGGAGCCTCCCAGATCCGGCCCAGAGTTCAGCAAGAGCCTGTGCTGCTAATGGTCTTCCGGTGGGGCAGAACTGGTCATAAACAAGACTGACATGCCACCCAGAGCCCAGCAAGGATGGAGAAGGTTCTGAGTGTCTTCTTGAGAGAAAAAATTTCAAAATCTGGTGAATGATTCTCTGTCATGTCAGAAGGTCTGAAGGCCCTCAAAGAGATGGTGATTAAATTTAAAATCTGATGTGTTGAATTCCCTCCCCACCCCACTCCCCAACCCCTCGAGGATCTAAATTCTCTAGCTGGAGGGTTTTCAAGAAACTGCATAGAAAATGCAAACCTGCAGGAAGGAGCTAGGC